GGACCAGCCGCCTGGGGGAGACGGGGCCAAGTGCGGGACCCTGCACGGCGTATGTCATGTGCTGCCAGTTGCAGTACACTGCCTGTTGGGCGACTCAATTATTGCAAATGAAAAAAGAGAAGAAAGAAAACCTTTCCATCTGGGAGGATCATAACAGGAGTGGGCCCTGGGGCAGGGGTGGGGCCATGAGGTGGGGGTTTCACGGTTTAATCTGTATGCTTAAATATGGTTTGAGTTGTAATAATATGCATATCTTGGTTCTTATATTAAAAACAGGAAAAAAATATAATTGAAAATGCTCACGATACCCATCAAAATGTCAGCGGATGCGTCATCGCGGTGTTCTCAGAGACCCTAGCACAGAAGCACCACCATGAACGCAGTGGCCCCACCGTCAGCCCTGTTCCCGAGGATCCCCTGCGGCGGTTCTGGGCCGGTGCCGTTGGGAGAGGGCACGGTTCTGGGACAGGGTGTCCTGAGGAAGCTCATCCAGAAGGAGGAAGACGCAGAGGTCACCGTTCTAGCCAGGAGAGGGGGCGCCTGGTCTTTCTTGTGGGTGGCATATGTCCTGTTTTTGTGCTCACACACAGCTCGGAAGGGTCCTGTCTTTTCCACTCACATTTCCACGGTCACAGAACAGCAGGTCCAAGGCTGTGCTCTGGGAGGTCATTGATGAACACCAGGAGCACACCAAGACCTGGCTGGGAGGCCGGGTCAGCTCTGAGAGATGGGGGGCTGCCTTCTCCCTCCATGTTTAAAGCATCAATTTCACTATGGTTGGGAGAGCTGCAGGCTGCGTGTGGGGCAGGGAGAGGCTGCAGACAGACAAGAGCCTGAGGACCAGAGGGTGACTTCGTGGTCCTCTGGGTCAGGCCCAACACAAGGGCTGGTTTCTCTTTTTCTCCCACAGCACTTTGTTTTTGGGAGAAGAATGAATGTTCATTCATTCTTTCATTCATTCATTCACCCAAGGGGCATCACAAAACATCACCACTCCGCTTAGGTAGGTGGTCACATGACTTGATTTGGTCACTGAAACGTGGGTGGGCTACCATGTTCCTTTCCCCTGCCATGGCTCCACATTCCAGAAGGAAGAGAGCACTGTCCAGCCAGGAAGTCTGCCCCACCAGTGCCCCGGGACCACTATGGTCAGAAGGAGTGGACAGGACATCAGCTTCTGTTGCTGCAGCCTAACCCAGCCCTGCCTGCCTGATGCACTCAGCTCTGGCCAGCTGCCGGCAGCTTCTCCTGCATTCCAGAAGCACGGTCTCGGGAACAGGGCGCCACGGTCAGATTGGTCTGGGACACACTGCGTACGCATACCCCACCCGGAGGTTCACGACTCCCATCACCATGTGAATTTTCTGAGAAGTCCCCACGAAAGATGCCCAATTAACCCTCCATTTCCCCCAAATCTAATTCAACAAGGCTAGTTCCCTTTATAAACACTGCAGGCGAAACTGTGTGCATGAAGCTCGGGTTTGGGAGACCAGCTCCAGAAACATCACGGACTGAGCCCAGCCTCTCCCCAGGAGCTTGTGTGCAGCGACAGCGTGAAGGTCGGAAGTCGGCGAGCCCACTCAGGGTGGGGGGCCCTGCACATTGCAGCCCTCACCGCCCCCCACCCCCCGCCCACAGCCCACGGCCTGGGAGGGGCTGCTCAGCATTGCTTCTGCCTAACGATCTACCAGCAGCCAAGAGCCCACGCCTGACGTCTAGAGAAAAAGAAAAAGGACCTGACCTCCAGCCCCCGGATGGATGCTCGCACTCTTGTCTCCTCCCAAAGGCCACTTTGGGACAGTGGTCACCATCATCCCCCCGGGCTGACGTGTGGTCCGGGTAAGGCACATCGCTGTACCTGCTGCCAGATCCCTCTCTGCTTCACTTGCCTAAAAATCCTTCCCAGTTGCCTGATGTGTGACCCTGAGACCCTCCGCTCCACCGAGGGCCACCCCAGGAACATGGAAGGACAGCACGAAGGCTGAAGTGGGGGGGTGTCTCTCACCACTGCCAGGACACAAGCATGAACCAGGCGGACGGAACGTGGCTGGTGCCCCAGGAACCAGGATGGGATGTGCCCGGCTACATGCAGCCACCCCCAGACCCTTGGGCCCAACGGCATCTGAACCCAACTGGGATCAAGCCGTGGGTCACTCCGTCAGGCCAGCAAACACAGCTCATCAAGCCAGGATGTGAGGGTATCCCACATCGAAGAACTAGAAGGATGTACAACTAGGATATACAACTATGTACTGAGGTTTTGGGGAGGAAAACAAAAAAGAGGAAGATTGGCAACAGATGTTAGCTCACGGCCAAGTTTCCTCACCAAAAAAAAAAAAAAAATTAACTCAAAATGGATTCAAGACTTGAGCTTAAGACCTGACACCATAAAACTCCTGGAGGAAAACATAGGCGGTGAGCTCCTTGAGATAGGCCTGGGTGATGATTTTTTGGATTTAACACCAAAAGCAAAGGAACCAAAAGCAAAGGCAACAAAATCAAAAACAAACAAGTGGGATTACATCAAACTAAAAAGCTTCTGCAGCCACAACTAGAAGGACCCACAACTAAAATATACAACTATGTACCGGGGGGATTTGGGGAGAAAAAAAAGCAGGAAAAAAAAAAAAGCTTCTGCACAGCAAAGGAAACCATCCACAAAATGAAAAGTCAACACACGGATTGTGAAATGGGCAGAGAGCTTCCGGGCTGGTGGACATGAGGAGTCTGGAGGGAGGGGTGCGTTTGGAGCAGGTCCGTGAAAGCTCTGTGTGCTTTTCCCAGACCTCGCCCTACACATCTTTTCCAGCTGACCGTTCCTGAGTTATATACTTTTATGATAAATCAGTGATCTAGTAAGTAAAATGTTTCTCTAAATTCCAAAACAAACAAAAAAAATGGGCAGAGAATCTGAAAACACATTTTTCCAAAGAAGATATAAGATGGCCAACAGGTACATGAAAAGATGCTCAACATCACTAATCATTAGGGAAATGCAAATCAAAACTACACTGAGATATCACCTCACACCCATTAGAATGACTATAATTACCAAGACAAAAATAACAAATGTTGGGGAGGATGTGGAGAAAAGGGAACCCTTGTGCACTGTGGATGGGAGCATAAATTGGTACAGCCACTATGGAAAACCGTATGGATGGCCCTCAAAAAATTAAAAGTAGAACTAACATACTATCCAGCAATTCCACTTCTGGGTATTTATCTGAAGAAAACAAATATACTAATTTGAAAAGACACACGCACCCCCATATTCATTGCAGCAGTATTCACAGTAGCAAGAAATGGAAACAACCTAAGTGTCTGTTGATGGGTGAATGGATAAAGAAATTGTGCTATATATACAATGGAATATTACTCAGCCATAAAAAGAAAGGAAATCTTGGCATTTGCAACAACACGGATGGACCTTAGGGGCATTATGCTCAGTGACAGAGAAAGACAAATACCATATGATCTCACTTATATGTGGAACCAAACAAACAAACAAAAACCCCAAACTCATAGATACAGAGAACAAAGGGACGGGTGGTTGCCAGAGGCGAGGCTGGGGGCGGTGAAATGGGTGAAGGGGGTCAAAGGGTACCAACTTCTGGTTATAAAGTGAATAAGTCCTGTGGATGTCACGTACAGCATGGTGCCTATAGTTAATAATACTGTGTTGTAAAAAAAACTATTTTAGAAGAGTTTTATATTTACAGGAAACTTGTGAAGCTAGACTTCCCATATAGCCACCTGGTTTCCTCCATCACTAAGGTCCCGGTCAGTGTGACAGCTTTGCTGCAGTTAGGAACCAGCACTGATACATTATCACAAACTGAACCAATAAGCCGCAGTGTGCTCAGCTTTCCTCCGTATTCCCCTAACGTCCTCTTCCTGTCCCAGGACGCCACGTGACATTCAGCCGTCAGGTCTCCTTAGGCTCCTCCTGGCTGTGACAGCTTTTCAGACTTTCTGTGCTTTTGATGACCTTGACGGTTCTCTCGAGTACTGGCAGGTATTCTGTAGGGTGTCCCCTACTGGAATCTTCTGGTGCTTTTCTCATGGGTAGAGGTTGTGGGTTTGGGGGAGGAAGACACAGAGGTGAAGTGCCCTTCTGCCACCTTGTAGCCAGGGCGATCCTGTCAACAGGACATCACTGTCGATTTCGACCTTGATCACAGGGCAGAAGGCATCTCCTGGTTTCTCACTGCAAGGGTCCCCCCACCTCATCTTGCACTTTGACAGGGCAGTCCCCAGACCCAGCCCACACCCAGGCCCGGAGGGGGTTATGCCCCACAGGGTCTTCCCCTCCCTTCTGCCCAGCACTTTGTTCTGTGGTACAGCCCCTATCCAGTGGTTAGAACCCCTGCCAGGCCCCAGCTGAGCGCCCCCCTCCCCCCCCCTCCTTGTACCGCCCCACTGAGCACCCCTGGCCGTGCCACCTCAGTAAAAGCCCCCTCGCTCCTTTCTCCTCACCCCTCACCTCCACCCCCACCCTGGACGCCAACCCCCAGCTCCTGAAGCCCCCATGGAACTCCCTCCCCCTCCCCGTCCCTCTTGTCCGCTCCTCCCCGAGCCCCGCCTCCTTCCCAGCCCTGAGTGCCCCGCCCCCACCCCACCCCTTCATCCCCCCACTAAATTCCCTAGCTCCTCACCCTGCCCTGAGCCCCACCCCAATCGCACCCCTCCCTCAGAGCCCCTTCCCTGAGCCCCCTGGCCCCGCCCCCCAAGCCTCCTCCCGCACTGAGCTCTTTAACCACCCCCAGGGAGGGGGGAGGGCTCTTTTCCCCCTCCTCCCCCCCTCCCTGGACTCCCTAATGCCCGTCCCCAGCGTAACCCCCCCCACCCCAGCATGACCCCCCTAGGAGCTCCTCACCCTCCCCACCCAACACCCCCCTCACAGGAAGGGCTTCCCTGGCCCCTCGTCCCGCCCCCCCTCCCCGCCCCCGCACGTCACGTCAGGCGGGGACCCTGCGTGCCCCCCACCCAGTGTTCCTGAGCGGCCCACTCCCCTGGGCCCCCAGTCCTTCAGGTTTCTGGAAGGCCCCTTCCCCTGGTTCCATGGCCCTCTCCTCCCCGGGGACCCTGAGCCTGGAGACCCTGGACAGCTGGGACCCTGACGTAGCCGGGCAGTTGGATGAGGAGCGGTGGCAGCCATCCTCTGAAATCGGTGAGGCCCTTTTTCCTCCTCCCCAGGCTCCTGCCTTTGAGGGTGTGGTCAATAGGGAGAGACCACAGGCTGGGGTCTGGGGACACTGCGGGAGGAGGGAGCATGGGCATGGACACAGATGGAGGCAGGTGCATCGGTGGGCATTGGCCCCTCCACCCCTCTGAGGCCCCCTGCCCTCCCATTTGTGGGGAGTAGCCCACCTGAGCCAACAAGGTGGCAGGGGCCCTGAGCAAGGAGGGACAGGTCTCAGGGGACACACCAAGCCCCATCTCAAGGTTGGCACTCACCACCCATCTTCCTGCCCCTCAATCTGGGTTGGGAGGGGTGAGTGTCACCGTGGGAGGTGGGTGGTCTGCTCGTCCCTCATGCTGGGGACCAGGGGATCCTGGGCACAGGCTGACCAGTGATTTCCTGCCTGCTCATGTGTGTCCTGTCTCCTAGTGGGGCGTCCCATGGCGGCTGCCCCAGTTCTGGACCTGGAGGAAGAGCCCAGCATGGACATCATCCTGGTGGACTCCAGCGAGCTGTCGTCCCCGCCTTCACCGGGGCCCTCCCGAGGTGGGGGCTCCTTCAAGTATTGGCCCCATCACTTAGGATGTCAACTCCAGGCCTGGGCAGTGGCTAGGGTTCCAGACTTCATTCCGATGCTCCGGCAGGGGTGGGAGGGCCCCACCCTGAGGCTTCCCCTCAAGCTCCATATTTAACATGTCAGCAAAGGTGGAAGGGAAGGGGTGGCAGGGGTGCTCTAGCTCCCGTGACTTCAGAAGGTCAACCTAGGGTGCTCACTTCCTGGCCATGTTTAAATTAGAGGTAGGCAGAGGAAGCCACTTATTTTCTTTTCCAGATCTTATTGCGTATGAAGTCAAGGTTAACCAGCGAGACATAGAAGGTGAGTGCTTGCATACTGGCCTCTGCTTAGGTGAAGCGGAAGGTCAGCCAGCTCGGGAAAGGCTTGCTGCAGCCTCACACTGTCGTCCATCCCCGCAGAAGGCAGTGGATGGGGCTGGAGGCCCTGCTCGTCTCTGTCCCCCAGCCCCAAGGCTCCTGAGGCTCCATCTAAAGTGTCCATTTCCGTGTCTTCAGTGTATTCACAGAGTGCACCCAACACCACAGCCTGATTTTAGGACACTTCCATCACTCCAGAAAGAAATCCCATACCCATTACCGTCACTCCCCATCCCCTTCAACACTAGGCAACCTACGAGTCCACTTTCTTTCTTGATGGATTTGCCTCTTGGGGATCCCTTGCGTTTCCATATGCATTTTAGGATCAGTTTGTCAATTTCTGCAAACAAAAGCCGGCTTGCATTTTGAAAGGGATCTGTAGACCACTCTGGCAGGTGCGCCATTTCAACACCATTCGATGTCCTGATCCATGAACATGGGATACCTTTCCATTTGTTTAGATCGTCTTTAATTTCTTTCAACGATGTTTTGCAGTTTTCCATGTACGGGTCTTGCGCTACTTTTGTTAAATTTATTCCTAAGTCTGTCACTCTGTTTGATGGCATCCTGACACACATTGCACCTTGGATGTCCCCTTAGACATGTGCATCTGCTGTGGAAGTTTCCAGGTGCACACACAGCACCCTCTGTTTGAGGGAGGGATGTGCGCTGCCTGCAAGGTAAGCAGGGAGGTGCGGGGTGGCTCCCCGAGGCTGGAGCAGAGGAGGTGCCAGCCCGCCTCTGCCCTCCCCAAGGACAAGTTCCTCAGCTGCCTCTTCTTGTATGACGACGACGGGAACCAGTCCTACTGCTCCATCTGCTGCTCCGGAGAGACGCTGCTCATCTGCGAAAACCCAGACTGCACCCGGTGAGGCGAGGGGCCCGGGGTGGGGGTCGGGGGTGAGAGTCTGAGGAGTCACTGCCCACGAGCCTAGGAAACTCCCATGATTCTCAGCCACGCATCCTGAGTGTGGAGGGATTTCCCCACAAAAAGATAAATTTCTCCAAAGCTTTCCGTTTCCAACTCAAATTCTCCATTTGGTGACAAAAGACTTGCATTTCCAATTTTTCTTTCATTATTATTATCACCAAGACATGGCTGTTCCCTCTATGGTTACGTAGGGCAGGGACGGAAACCCCACATCCCTGGGTGCCCTGCTGGTCACAGCAGGGGACAGGCAGGGGCGTGTTGGTTCCCTGTTACATGCCAACGTGAGCTCCATCTGTAGTCCCCTCCCTCTGCCCTTCTGGACTGTCCTTCTATTTACAGCTCCTCCTCCCACCCCAATTCTCCCCCCTCTGTCAGCTGGAGCTCCTTCACTTGGTTTGCTGGGAGAACTGACGGGTTTCTGCAGGCTCCGACATTTGGGGGCTGCTTTGAAATCTGTCATTGTCCTTAAATCCCCTGCTGTTTTCTGCAGACCACTCTGTTCCTGTGGCTCTAGGTGCCTAAGAGGGACCGGTCCCCATTCCCCGGGGCCACAGCCTCGCCTTGCATGGGCTGCAGAGACCACAGGGCCACCCTTGTCTTTGCCTTGAGCCGGAACGTGCTTCGATCGATGGCTCCAAAGCAAGGACCAGGCTCTCCTCTGCCCGCAGACCGACATACCAACTAAGATTTCACCTGACGCCTGAGGGAATGTCATGTCAGTCCCTGTGGTTTTCTGTTTGACTCTAGCTGCTACTGTTTCGAGTGTGTTGACACCTTGGTCAGCCCCAGGACCTCAGAGAAAGTTCAAGCCATGAGTAACTGGGTGTGCTTCCTGTGCCTGCCTTTCCCACGCAGTGGGCTGCTGCAGAGGAGGAGGAAGTGGCGGGGCTGGCTGAAGGCCTTCTACGACCAGGAGGCGGTAAGAAGCCGCTCAGCTTGGGGCAGAAGGATGCGCAGCGGCCCTCACTTGGTTGGTTTTCTCTGGTTACTAGTTGCAAAGTGCCCATCTGCTCTGGTAGGTGGTGAAGTCAGAGGCTTTTAAGCGAACGGGCTTTTCTCGTTTTCCTCTTTGATAGCAGGCTCCACGAGGCAGTCTATTTTTTAAGAATCCCTTTAGCATGGCGGTTTTGTTTCTTCCAAGCCTGGGAATGAGGCATCTGTGGTGGGTGGGAGAGGGGCTCAGCCGAGGTGGGCTTCTAAGTCCAGCAAATGGGAGCAGACACTGGGCCGGGGCACAGACACGGGACCTCTCGAGGGTCCAGGAGCCACGGGCTAGGCAGGAGCTGTGGCCTCATCGAAGTGGGTTGAACTGTGTCCCCCGAAGGACACGGCCAAGTCCTAACCCCTGCTACCTGGGACCGTGACATCTTTTGGAAATCGGATCTTTGCCGATCTCAGGATCTCAAGATGAGCTCATCCTGGATAAGGGCAGCCTGAAACACAGACCTCCGTGACAAAGGATGAGGCTTTATGGTGTTCTTTGGAAAACGAGGCCTGTGAACACCTTCTAGAGCCTTCTTTCAGACACATTGAGTGGCAGAAGCCTTTCTGTCTCAGTGTAGAAAGACGCCATGCTGGCAAGTTGCAGGAGGATTTTCACTCAGAAAGAAAACAGAGTTGAGACTCAGAAATGTCCTTAATGCCAGCCCGGTGCTGGAGCACAGCAGATAGAGAACAAGGACACACATCCCAGTGTCTGTCAGAGCTGCGCCCGTGCTGGGACCGGCCCCGCCCTCCTCTCCCACTCACCTCCTCCAGGCAGCCCAGGACTGCCTGCCTGCCCCAGGCTCACGGCTCGCTCACTCACTGCCTATGCTGGGTGCTGTCGCATCTGCTAGAGCCCCCGTGCAGGCAGACCCCTGCTCAGGCCTGGACCCCTGCAGTCGGAGACCCCACGCCCTGCTTGCCAGTGGCCAGAGACCCCCGAAGTGCAACCTCCTGGGGGGAGAGGAGGCTCTGGGGGTGCTTGTTTGACAAATGAATCAACTGAGCCTCTGTCCTAGAAGACGAGACAGGTATTATCCACCGGCCTCCCCACGACCTTTGTCCTCAGCGTGCCTCCTTGGTGGCTGAACTTGGGGTGCTGGCGTACTAGCTGGCTCTTGGCCCAGCAGGTCTCAGTCCTCAGCCTGGGAAAGCCCTCACGCTGGCAGCTTTTGGGGGGGCCGGAAGCATGGGGCCCACCTTCGGAGCCCCCGGTGGGGAAGGAGAGGAACAGGGTGAATCCCACTGCTGTGCGTATTCCGGGTCCCCCAGATTGAGACTCTAGCCAAGAAATACAAAGCAAGTGTCTCCTCTGGGATCCAGATCTCCCTTCAGTCCCGCACCTGCCTCTCCTCTGCTGCGTTGGGGGGAGGGGGGTGGTCAGGTGGGAGACCTCAGCCTGGGGGGCGGACGGAGTCTTCGTGGGGCCCCGAGGGGAGGGGTAGCGTGGTCAGGGTGGGGCAGCCGATCCTGGCAGGTGTGTCTCAGGTGTGTCCTGGTTCATCCAGGAGAAACGCCTCCGCTGGGCCAGAAGGAAGGTTCCCTGTGACTGACGGGCTCTGTAACCACGTAGTTGTCAGAATATCCTTTTTTTTCTTTAATAGGAGAGTCCCCTTGAGATGTATAAAACTGTGCCTGTGTGGAAGAGAGAGCCAGTGCGGGTGCTGTCCCTTTTTGGTGACATCAAGAAAGGTGAGTGCAGTGATGTCCAGAGGACTCACACTGGAGGGTGAGCCTGCCCAGAGCCAGACCCACAGAGGATCCGATGTGTGTGTGTGGGCAGTGGGGCAGAATGTCCTCACTATCTCGCTCGCTGAGCGTCTGGGGCTGAGGGCCGAGAACGACATGCCTGTCACTTTCGGGAGGCAGGGGGTGGGTGCAGTTGCGCTGGGCCACCCTCCTGCAGAAGAGGGGCCTTGGGGGAAAATGTGAGAAGGAAGCAGGATGGCGGGTGTGAAATGTGGTTGATGAGGCCACCAGGCCAGGTCTCTGCCTAGGACGGCAGACCAGACCAGGCCTTGTGCACGGCCACCAAAAGCCAAAGTCCAGTTCAGATACCTCCACATGCCTGACCGCCTTGCAGGGTGGCCCTGAGCCCTCCTTCTCCTCCCAAATCTTGGCTCACCCAGGCCGGCCAAGCGCTGCATTCCAGCCTTGCCTGAGTGTCCCGCCCCTTCTGGACCCTGCGCTCACTCCCAGCTGTGGGCGCCTTTGGAAATCCTGTGGATTCTTCTGGGCCCAGCAGCCGCAAGAAGAATCCATGAGAACGCTCCTTAGTCTCTGGCCAAATGGACTCTGGGGATCCACCCCGCTTCCGGCACTGTGCAGCATGCTCGCTGTGGTGTCGCAGTGGCCTCACAGGAGCCCATGTCACAGACGTGGGGCCTGAGACACCCACAGAGTGTGTGGGGCTTGCCAAGTTGCTGCCGGGGGTGCTGAAGGGACCCAGGAGTCACTGCCTGCGGCCGCCCAGCCTTCACCTGCCTGCCCAGAAGGTGCATCCCGTCCTCCGCCTTGTAAGGTCCTCTCTGGGCTCCTCTTCCTGTCCCCAGGCTGCAGAGTCTCTGAGGCCAGTGCAGGGCTTCTGCAGCCCACACCCGTGTCACACAGCCTGGCCGGGTGACATCAGCGTGAACTCCACCACCAGGCAGATTTCCTCAACCGGAGCACGCTGCCGCAGCCCAGGAAGGCCTGGTTTTGCAACCAGTGTCTTGACTTTGTAAAATCGCTTCTCAGTGCAGTTTGCTTATGATGCAACACACGTCCTCATCGTTGGTCCGGGCGTGTCGTTAGGAAGATAAAGTTTGCTCTTGGGAGACGGGAGAGCTTTATGATCAGTCGTTGGCCTTGTGATTCCGTATGGGGTCAAAGTCAACGCTAGCCCTTCTGTGTCCTTGCTTCTGCCCATCCAGAGCTGACGACTTTGGGCTTTCTGGAAAACGGCTCTGACCCGGGCCGACTGAAACATTTGGACGATGTCACCAATACGGTGAGGAGGGACGTAAGTACAGCTCGTGTGCTCCAGACGCCGCGGTGAGAGCAGAGACCCGTCAGGGGACGCCGTGGGCTGTGGGAGGAGGCTGAGGAGGGGCAGCTGACGCCACACAGCTCTGTCCCAAGCCAGGGCCGATGTGGGGGTCTCGTGGCAATTAGCACCTGCTGGCACAGTTGCTGGTAGTCACCCCGCAGTGGGAGAGGTGACAGGGGCATTTTCATGGCCCCCATGCTGCCCACAGCCCAGAGCAGAGTGAGAGGCCAAATCCCCTGGCCGACATGTTGAAGTCCAAGGGGCAGTCCCACCACGTGTGGATGGTGCTGCCCAGGAAGGGGTCAGCCCCCACAGTCCTCTCAAGGAAAAGCGCTGAGTCTTGAACTAAACATCCGCTGATGAAACATCCTCTGGACACTGCGACAGAATGTTCTGGCTCCCTCGGAGGCTGCTTCCTGCTGCCCTGGACAGTGACCTTGGAGGAAGTGCCTAAAAATGACTCACCAGCACCAGCTTGGCCATGGAAGAGGGCCGGGAAGCCTTCTCCTGGGGGCCGCCGGGCAGGGTACCCTGGTCTCTCCCGCCAGCACTGGCACACAGCCTCTCGCACTAGCAGAGAAAGGATTCAAGCCCATCGTCCTGGGGGCCCGACAACGACGGGCAGAGGGGCTGGGGGGCTTGGAGGGCTGGCCGTTGAAGGGGCAGCAACAAGGAAAAGGCCAACATGGGGGTCCGCTCTGTCACCCCCAACCCCTCCTACTGGCCAGGGCCTCACAGCTCTGCTCCCGGTCTGGCCGGGGAGCCCATGTCTGAGGAACTACCCCTCCTCTCTGGTGGTCATCCAGCTCCATCCGGGGGGGTTCCCCTACCCTGAGGCCCAGGATAGGTCTCCTTGTGGGGGAGGGTGCCCCTCACACGGCCTCGAACCCCACACCCCTTGAACTTCATCACCATGGGCCTCCCCCGAGACGCCATGTCTCACCCCCGACCCCTTCAGACGCCCCACAATGGAGCATTGCTGGAGCCCGCACGCCCGCCCCAGGCCCTCGGGGCGGGAGTCCTCCCTCACAGGGTGGGATGTTCGAGGCACACGATGGTGACATGAGTCCCACACATGTGGCTGGGCTGCAGGAACATATCGGACGCAGAGGGGATCTCCCTGGACGTCCAGGGGTGACCGTCTGATGGAGCTGCTGTGTGGGTGCCGTTGGGGCTCGATGGGGAAGAATGTGGCCAAGCTGTTAACTTCCAGCTGCCACGGTCATGTCAGGGCACTTCTTTTATTTTCCAGCAACACACAAAATCCGTGAGGACCCTCTGGGGCCGGTGTGTCAACCCTCCTCTAAGGGCACCACCTGGCGCAGAGGAATCCTCTGATCCCCAGTGCTCTGTGAGGGCCGGCTGCTCCTCAGATGACCAGAGCCAGGCTCTGTGCGTCCCCGGGGCTGGTGGTGACCAAGAAACCACAGTGTCAGGTCCAATCCATTGGGCTTCACTGCCTCCCCTGCGCCCGGGACTCTGCGGGGCAGAGCGGGTCAGCTTTGTCGTGAATCTTGCGGTCAGACGCACGAGGTGCCTTTGGCCCTTTTGTGACCGCCCAGCCCTCATGAGCCTCCGGTGCCCCTGGCCCTGCAGGTGGAAGAATGGGGCCCGTTCGACCTCGTGTACGGCTCCACGCCGCCCCTCGGCCACGCCTGTGACCATCCTCCCGGTAAGAGACCTCGGTCTGCTCAAACCCCTGGCCCTTGTGTCCCTCCCACCCTCTTCATTGCCACCCTAGCCCTCCTCAGGGAGGGCAGAAAGAGCAAATTATCTGCATTTTTAAAAATAGCTTCATTGATGTACAGCTGACTCACATAAATTGTCCGCATTCAGCGTGTGTACTTGGTGGGTTGGGACATGCATATCCCCCGGGAAGCAATGGAGAAAGTGAGTGTTTCCACCCTCCCCGGAGGCTGCCTCGCGCCCTCTGATCCTCCCCACGCGCCCCCGGCAGCCTCTGACATGTGCTTGGTGTCTCCGGAGCACGTCTGTTTCCTTGGAATGGAATTATTTACGGAAGAAAGTGGCATGTGCTCTTTGCCAGCTGGCTTCTCTTGAACTTGCATTGTTTTAATTGCTTCTGTCCCTTCTTGACACCAGGGCACACTGGGTGAGGCTGGGGTCTGTGCTTGGGGTGACGTCAGCCCTGTGCCCTTGAGACCCATTTGCTGTTGGCAGGAGCAGAAGCACCCTGGGGAGCAGGCGGATGCCTGGGGTCCGGGCCAGCCACTCCGGAGCCAAGCCTTCCGTGGTCCCCCTGCCTCCACCAGTGCCCCTCAGCCCTGCCCTCGGGCCCCGTGTCCGTGTGCCTGGCAGAGCCCAGACCCACCCAGATGCCCTCCCCAGGGTGGTACCTGTTCCAGTTCCACCGTGTGCTTCAGTACGCGAGGCCCAGGCCGGGCAGCCCGCAGGCCTTCTTCTGGATGTTTGTGGACAACCTGGTGCTGACCGAGGATGACCGGGCTGTAGCCACTCGCTTCCTGGAGGTGAGTGCAGGGGCTGCCGTTCCGGGGGTGCTGGCCAGGCCGGGGCCTCCCCGAGGGACGCTTGGGCGTCTTCAGGGGTGGCACAGCTTGGATCCCGCCGCTGAGGCCTGGGCTTTCAGAGCTCACAGGGCTGTAAGGCAGAGACTGTGGCCTGCCTAGCGGCCTGGAGGCCGTCCCTTCCGTGCCTCTCACATCTTCAGGATACCGCCTCCTCTCTCCCTACCCCGCCCCGCCCCCCCATCTACTCGCAGGCACACATGCACAGGTGTGCACACTCACACTACAATACACAGTCACACACTCACAAACACGTATGCACACGTGTACATACATCACACACGAGTCACTAACACACCACACACATACACAGAATCACACACACACACTCACACGTTCACACGCTCACACCACGCTCTCCGTGTGTCTGAATCCTGATCATTTGAGCAGCCACTTCTGGACTCAGCAATGGGTCCGTCCAGGCTGACCAGGCCCGGGTCCCGCCCCGCTCCCCTCACACACACAGGACAGCCCTGGCTGGGCCTGGTGTGCCCTCCTCTCGAGACATCTCCCCCACGTTTCGAAGTTTAGAAACTTACAGCAGAAAGTCCCCTCGCCGGCCTGACCCCACCTGTCCCCACGCCCTAGTCTTCAGTGTCTCCGTTACCCCCAGGTTCCTTTACACAAATATGAGCAAATCTACCTACGCTGCCGCCTGCTGCTGCCTCTTTGTCACTTAACAATCTCCTTCCTTTGCAAAAGTACCTTCCTCATTCTTAATTTGTTTCTTTCATTTTGTGCAGTTTTCATTGGTACAGACATAAAATAACGTCTTTGACCTGTTCCCTGGGGATGGATGCCAGGGTTGTTTCTGATCTTTTGCTCTTACAAACAACACTACGATGAGGGAGCGTGTGTGGGACCACCTGTGGGATCGGTTCCAGTGGTGAGACTGCCAGATCAAAGGGTAAATGACGGGTCACTTGCCCAGGTGTTGCCCACCTGCCCTGGGCAGGGCCCAGGCTGGTCCACAGTCCTGCCAGCAGGGGATGGACGAGGAGCCCTTTCCTGCCTCAGCAGCAGAGGGTCCCGAGCTCTCTTGTACGATTCATGTTAGGGTCATTCCCAAGTCCCACCTTTGTTTTCCCTCAGATGGCAATTGGGATCTTCCATTTTATCATCTAACTGGTTTTGATTTGTGTACACGAAACTCTTGATTTCTACACATTGGTTTTGCTCCTGCTGTCTCACGGGACTACTTTCTGGATTATGCTAGGTTTTTTTTTTTTTTTTTTAAAGATTTTATTTTTTTCCTTTTTCTCCCCAACGCCCCCCGGTACATAGTTGTGTATTCTTCGTTGTGGGTTCTTCTAGTTGTGGCATGTGGGACGCTGCCTCAGCATGGTCTGATGAGCAGTGCCATGTCCTCGCCCAGGATTCGAACCAACGAAACACTGGGCCGCCTGCAGCGGAGCGCGCGAACTTAACCACTCGGCCACGGGGCCAGCCCCTATGCTAGTTTTCTTTTGATTGAATTAGACTTGCTGTGTGTTTGAGCAGATCGTCTGCAAATACTGACAGTCCTTTCATTCTGATTTTACACCTGGGACATCCTTACCATGTTCCTCATGGTGCTGCAACGTCTTGGACAATGTTGAATCCTGGTAGCGAAAGGCATGCCTGTGTTGTTCTGACCTTCATGGGAATGTTTCCAGAATTTCCCTATGACCCTGAGGCTGGCATGGAGGTTGAGGTTGATATATTTCACTATGTTAAGGAAGTTTCCAGAAGTTTCCCTCAATTTCCTTTTTTTTTCTTTTTTGAGCAATTTCATCAAGAATAACTGTTGGATTTTGTCAAATGTTGCTTCTGATGTCTGTTTAGATAATTAGATCATTTTCCTCTTTAGGTCTATTAATAGGATATAATACACTAATAGATTTCCTATTAATGAACCATCCTTGCATTCCTGGAAAAAACCCCTTAGTCGTGGTGAATGGCTCTTTTAACGTATTGCTGAATTCTGGTGAACAGCATTTCATCTAGGATTTTTGCTTTGACAAGCACGAGAGAGGCTGGTCTGTAGTTTCTTTGTTTTGTGCGATCTTTGTTGGGCTCAGATATCCGTGTTAAACTGGCTTCACAAAAATAATTGAAAAATTGACAGAATTCTCCTGTTAAACTGTCTGGATTGGTGGTTGTTGCTGTTGTTTTAAAAGAGGAGTAGCTCTTCTGTGGAAACGGCTGTCTTAAGACCTTCTATCTTTTCTGAGATTAACTTGGTAAGTTATGTTTTCCTAGCATGTCATCCATTTACTTATAGCTATGGAAATCACTTTCACAGAGTTGAGCAAAGTGGCCTCATGGTTCTTCTTTCTTCCGTGTCTGGGGTTATTTCTCCTTCTTAGAAATCTGGAATTTTAAAAATACCAGCATGTCGTCACATAGCAGCCAGGACCAGGTTTGTAAGCTGCGCTATTTATAAAAAAAAAAATTTATGAATAAGTTATTGTGGGTCCAACCAAAAAGCTCGATTTGCAAACGTAGGCATCAGTCATCCACACACTCGGAGGACAACAGAAATGCTGACTTCTGATCATTTTGTGCACACGTTTCATAGATCAAACTTTACCCCAAATCAGAAGTAGGCAAAAAAGGGAACTTCTCATATTTTCTGTGACTGCTCCTGTCTTGCTGTGGAACCTTGCTCCTGCTGCTGGCAGGGAAGAATTGAGACCTGCCACATATAGGTACTGTCTCTCCAGGCTCTGGCGGCTGACAGTACAGCCGGTGTGAGCCTCTCCCTGCAGCGAGGTGCCCGGACACAGGAGGAGGCTATGTGTCCAGGGAGGTGGGGCTCGGGAATGGTCCACATGGCCATTCTGCTGGCCACCCGAGTCCAGGAAGGTGGAGTCAAGGCCACCTTGTGTTGGGTATCAGGGACCAAGTGGCCTCTTGCCTCAGTTTCTCCTCCATGCCTCTCTCCCTCCTGTAGCTTCCCCTCCCTATGTGGGAGAGTCCATCTCGCCTTCCTCCTGCTCCTCCCACATCCTTCCAGAGCCTTCTAGGGAGACTGTGACCCCAGGATTCCAGGCAGCCTGCTTGGCTCCTGATGGGCACCGTGAAACTGGCACTTTAGAAAACTCCTCTTCTGCCAGCAAAGCCTCTTACCTCCCTGACAAGACTCGTCTTGGCTCAATGACCAAGACCTTCTTCATCCTTGTGGACTCCGCCTCTGTGCTGGAGTGGCTGGGGACTCCCTGGGCCACGTGACCTTTGGGAACGCAAAATCTACCAGTTACAAGTCTAAAAGTAATATCTTGGATTTTTTTCCTCCTAAGGTGATTTATAAGAAAAACGATGTGACTTGTAAGCAATGCCAACTGGGAGACATTGTCAGTCTGAAAGGCTGTTGACCGTATTCTGAGGCCAGATGTGGTTCCCACAGTGGCTGAGGCCTGCGGGCACGGTGGGGGGCAGACGTCATTGTGCAGGCGACCTAATCCACAGCCGATATTTCCGTGTCTCAGACTGACCCGGTGACCATCCAGGACGTCTGTGGCAGAGCTGTCCGGAACGCCGTGCACGTGTGGAGCAACATCCCGGCCGTGAAAAGGTATTTCCTGTGTGTTCTAGTCCTTTGGGAGTTTGGAGGGACCCTGGCCCAGCGTCAGGTTTGCCAAAGAAACAGAAGCCAGAGAGAAGGGGGAGTTTTCTAGACAGCCACGCCTAGAGCAGCCTCTGTGCCCAGGTCGGGGGCTGTGTCCGGTGGGCCTTCAGGCCACCTGGAAAATTCTGGACACGCTCAAGGTCTGGAATGCCCCCTTCCACTTTGGGGACCTGCTCCCAGCTTTTGGCACCAATGCCATCTGAGGTTCTCATCTCAGGACAAACTCCTAGACGTGTGCTGCGTGACCACATGCGCCCTGGCCCTGCTACCCATCCCTGGCCCTCCCAGGGCACCTGCCTCACCAGACACAACAGACAGTCACACATCTGCTCACACGCCCACTCTCACACTTTCACACACCCACACCCAGGCACACTCATTCACATGCTCATACAAGCCCATGAACACTCACTCTTACTCACACACGTGATGCACTTTCGGTCCCTCAAACACGCCATGCCTTGGGCCTTCACGCATTCCCCTCCTCTGCCACCGGAACATCCTCGTGACTGTTCATTCTCATGAACATTCTCTCCGCCTCACCCCCCTCCACCCCACAGCCCCTGGTCCGGCCAACCCCGCTCCTCCGGGCAGCCTTTCTGCTCCTGGGACAGCTGCCCTCGCTCTCTTGTCTTCATTCAAACACTGTCCCCCCAGAGCCCTCGAGGAGATGGCCACCTCCCGCCCCTGCCCCCCGACAGCCTCTGGCATGTGCCCTTGTGTTGAACTGATGCTGACGGCATCTTCTGGGACAGCTAAGTCATGTCTCCCCCTCCTGACAGTGAGTTTCTGGAAAGTCCTTCCCATCCACCTCCCAACTCCAGCCTTCTCCTGGCTGGCAGCGTGGCGTGAGCCCCCCACCGCACCTGCCAAGGCCAGGGTTTGGGTTTAGGTGGAGCTAAATTGCAGCAGCTTTCCAGAACATTTCCTTTTCGGAAGCCTGAGAGTCATCCGCCTTCTGTGTGCATCCCCCCTCCCCCCCCCACCCCCTCATTCCCCTCCTCCCCGCTTCACCCTCTTGAGGAAGGTGCACGGGGAGCGGGTGGGCAGGCAGGCGCCTCCTTCCCAGAAGCGAAGCTGGAAGCCGCTTTTTCTCAAGGGCGTTTTCCCTTCCGGCTGGGCTCCTGTTGTCTCAGCAGTGTGGAGGGGGACCTACACTCGCTGAAAGTAGGGGTCATTCATCGCCAGCAGCCGCCCGACGGCACGGTCAGCCTCGGAAGGTCGAGCTGCCCGGGAACTCACCGGGAGAGTTCCTGGAGGGGGGCCCTGCAGTTCTGGCACCTCATTTATAAGCTGAGACACGTTCTCCGACTCCAGGGAGGTGCCAGGGAGCAGGAGAAGCAGGTGCCGGGGGCCACGTCCTTGAAGCCTCCTCTCCACGGGTCACATCAAATTGCAGGCTGGGGCCATGTTCTCCCCACCCACCTGTCCCACAGGCAGGGCCTCCGCACAGGCAGCCACAGGACCCTGGGGCCGGGCCTAGCGCCGTGTCGGGGCTTGGGTACAGCAGAATGCCTCAGAACAACGCGCAATGGGGTTTGCCAGCCTTGGCCCGCAGAGTCCCGCCCTTTCCTCTGCGTGGGTTTGCTCCGTGATGGTTTCTTCACACTGAAAGTGGGACCCACCCACCTGGGCCAAGGGTCTGTCCCGGGGTACCCTCTCTACCCCCAACTGCCCTGCCTGCCTCTCACAGGACTGGCTCCTCCAGGGAGGAGGCAGGAGGCATGGGGGCCATCTGGTTCCCTGCTGCCCAGGACAAGCTTGTCATTCCACCTATGGGCAAATGGGAGATGGATGGGGGGTGCTTATCTCAGAGACCTCGGGATAATCTAGCGAGACTGGCACGAGCTGGCCTTCCCCGTGGGAGCCCCCTCCCCGCCCACCGTCCTCCCTGGACCCTGGGGAGCCCAAGAGTGCTCGGTTAGTAATGAGCCCCCTTCTCTCCCCACAGCAGGCACTCGGCCCTGTTTTCCCAGGAGGAATCATTCCTGCGGGCTCAGGACAGGCAGAGAGCAAAGCCCCCCGCCCGGGGGCCAGCCAAGCTGGTGAAGAATTGTTTTCTCCCCCTGAGAGAATATTTCAAGTATTTTTCAACAGAATTCACTTCCTCTTTGTAAATGAGTCATTATACCTTGAAAAAAAAAAAAAAAGACTTTTCCTAGAACAAAGATAACTTTCCTTATATTGTTTCTTTTTTCCTCTTTAAATTATTATTTTATCTGCTTGACTGTGGATTTTCCATGGTTGCCACAGACCCATCTTCCTTTTGGGTCTGGAGACCAGGGCCCTGACCCACCACGCCCTTTGCGGGACGGGGGGACATACCCCACGTCTAACCAGAGACGAGATCCAGATGTTACACAGCACAGTGTGCTGCTGAAAAGTTTGTGTGTGCCACTTGAGAAGTTAAAAATATATTTATGATGATGAGTTACTGGTCATTTTTTGGTGGTGTTATGTATAACACAGTCTTTATTTTCCTCTCTGGGACATGGGGGTGCCCGGGAGGACAACGAGCAGGTCACGTTCTTATAAGTGCTTGTTACATGTGCTCCCTTTGGACACGCAGCTGATGCTGTCACACGACTGCCATTTGCTGTGATCGTCAAAACCACTCGCCCTGATTATACCACACGAAACATCCCAGACCTTGTCGAAGCGTAGACTGTCGAACTTGGAAAGCGGGGAGAATGGACTGAATAGATGGCACAGAGACCAAGACCAGACCCACTTGCGAACCGTGCAGGCTTTTTGTCCTTCTTAACCCAGAGGGACCTGCTTGCAGAAAGCAGGATTCTGCTCCCCCCGGGCTCCTAGGAGGATAAACCCAACGGAGAGCATCGAGTTGAGCTGGCTTCAAATCACATGTAGTGAATCCTAAAGGGTTCTTTCCAGATTAGCCAGAAAACCCCCAAAAGGGATCTAGACTACGTAAACAGACTCAGCTCGTCCTGGGCACTACCACCGGGCCTTGGGGCCCCCCCGGGACCAGCGCGGGTGCTGTAAGCAGTATGTAAAACACTTTGTGGAGGAAAGGTGGGGTTCACATTGAAGCTTTTGAAGTTTTAAAAAAAAATCTTAAAGTAGAATTACAAGTTGTGATGGTGAATTTTATGTGTCGACATGGCTGGGCCACAGTGCCCAGATATTTGTCCCAACATTATTCTGGATGTTTCTGTGGAGCTGTTTTTTTGGATGGGATTAACACTTACATGGTGGACTCTGAGTAAGCAGATCACCCTCTCTAATGTGGGCCGGCGCTGTGGTCTGAACGTCTGAGTCCCCCTCCAAATTTACCTGTTGAAATCTGAACCCCCAGGGTGATGGTTTTAGGAGGTGGGGCCTTTGGGAGGTGACTCCAAAAGGGGATTAGCGCCCTTAGAAAGGGGGCCCCACAGGGCTTCCTCACCCCTTCTGCCACGTGAGGACACAGGAAAAGTGTGCAACCAGGAAGAGGACATACGCCACCCATGCTGCACCCTGATCTCGCCCTTCCAGCCTCCAGAGCCGTGAGAAAGACATTTCTGTCTATAAGCCGCCCGGTGTGTCATATTTCGCTACAGCAGCCCGATCGACTGAGACAGCCTCATCTAAGCCACTGTCTTGGACGCAGGCCTGAACAGGACAGTGGTGGACCTCCTCTGAAGGAAGGAATTCAGCAGCAGGCCGCTGTGCACTCCAGTTACAGCTCTCCCCTGGGCCTCCGGCCAGCCAGCCCACCCCACAGATTTTGGGTTTATTCAGCCTCCAAAATTGCCTGAGCCAATTCCTTGAAATAAATTTCTCTCTCTTTATATACATCCTCTTGGTTCTGTTTCTCTGGAGAGCCCTGACTAATACAGACATCTTCATCGCATCCACAGGAACCTTCTCTCATGGCAGGAATGGAGAACAATACTGGGCTCTGACATCACAGATCTCATGCCCAGGGGCTGATGTTGCAAGATCTGTAATGAAACTGAGATCATAGCAGCCCCGGAAAACACGGAGGAAGTGGAGATGAGGGCATCCCAGCCCACGTTAAGACCTTCCTGGGAGGCCAGGCTCTGGATCTCTGGATCCAAGCTGACCACAAAGACGTGCACCCATGGTGGCAACTGACAGGTCAGGGCATCATGACGGCTGTGCCCTGGCGGGCTGACTCCAGGCTGCTTCCGCCAAGGTAACCGACACCATGGGGGCGTGTCCCCACCTCATGTCCACTTTCTATCAGACTGCTCCCAAGCAGGGGCCACAGCTTTACATCTTTAATTCCCTCCCAAACACCTTGAGATTCTCCCTTTAAGTATTTTAATCCCACCCACAGGGCCCTTGTTTGTGACCCCCTGTGGTTGGCTGAATAACGACCCCCAAAAGATGTCCCCATCCTAGTGGCCTGTGAATGTCACCTTATAGGGAAAAAAAGGACTTAGCCGATATGCTGAAATCAAGATGGGAGGTTGTCCTGGACCATTCAGGTGGACCCTAAATGTGATCACAGAGGTCTTTACCAGGGGAGGCAGAGGAGGACTTGACCTCATACAGAGGAGAAGGCCGTGACCCTGGAGGCAGAGATGGAGGGGCAGCTGCAAGCTAAGGGATGCCTGGGCCCCCAGGGGCAGAAGCAGGAAGGCCCCTTTCACTGATTTCAGACTTCCAGCCTCTGGAGCTTCGGGAGAATCCATTTCTGCTGTTTTTAAGCACAGAGGCAACTGACACGGCCCCTAAGAGAAAAGGTGGGCTTCCCGGGACGAGGGATAAGTCAAGCTCCGAGCAGCAGCTGACGCCTGCGATGTCACAGCATGTGGCTGTGCTGGACCTCTAGTCAACTGGCGGGAGAAGCGGAGGGCAGGCCTGGGCCTCCAGCGTCAAGGTGCACGCTCCTTGCTTCCAGGTCTGCTCCGAGCTTCGAATCCCCAGCATGAATACAATTCCTACTTGGTTCTAAGGTCGCCTAGATATTCCTCTGGACGAGCTTCTCTCTCCACACCCCCTGACCACCTGAGAAACAGTCATGGTCAAGGGGAAGAAAGGAAGACCTTCCTGAAAGGCAGGAAGCCTCCTGAGGGGCGTTCTTTTCTCATGTGTTAAAATCCTCTGTTTGTAACCCACGCACCAGTGTTGGTATGAGGGCTCTGTGTTCATTAGCTCACAAGAACCACATATTAACTAGGCTACTTTGTGAGGAAGGTGTTATATCCCCTACTTCAAAAATGGGACAGAGGGGTTGAGTAACTTGCCCAATGTCACACAGCTCCTGAGAAGCAGAGTTGGGATTTGAACCTAGCACACACTTCTCAGGCTGAGGTTCCTGGGGCTGATCTTGGTCCCCCTCCTGGGGGTGCCCCTGCCTCCATGGCCCTAGTCCCACGTAGATGTCCCCTTCCAGCCCAGCGGCACTTCCCTGCCTGCTCAACAGAGTACCACTCTTGGGTGGGCCTGGCAGCTGCGCTTGGCCTTCTGGGGTCTGGGGCGCCGGCCAGCTCTGCCGTGTTAGCCCCTTCTAGCCCCCTGCCCTCCACATCTCGCGGTGGGGCAGTGTCCGGACTGAGATGAAGGGCTTCGCTTCCGGACCCAACGGACTGGGCACCTTCCCCTCCCCGCTCCACATGAGAGGGCACCCTATGAGGGGAACTTAACCTAGGCCGGGAGGTGGGTCGGGGAGGGTGCTCTCCATCCCCCAGCAAACCTAGAGATTGCACGTGGGGCCCATCCCTCCCTGCTCCCCATCCAAGCGGGCGGAGTCAGGATCCTCGTGGGAGCCTCTGGGGGTGGTGCGCAATCCAGGCGTCAACCAATCAGCGCAGCCCCTCCCCTCTCCGCCTGCCCAATCACAGAATCCCGGGATTTGTGGGCGGGGCTGGACCGGGAAGGCTCGGGAGGTGGCCGCCCTCCCTCCGCACCTGCGGGTGATGCTGGGGCTGGCCGCCCCCAAACGCGGTCCTTCTCTACCAGCTGCTGCCGACCCAGGGGGAGAGGATCCAAGACCAACAACATCACGCCCCCTCCAGCCCCTCTGGGTCTCAGCCTGTGCCCCCTCGACTGTACCCCTATACTTTTTCAAGGTGCGCATTGGTTTTCTAGCTCCGGGAATGGGAAGCGTCCTGAGACTCCCTCTCTGAATTAATTTATGCCCACGCCCTGCTCTCCTAGCCAAATCCTACCTTTCCTCCCGGCCCCCACACCGTGCCCCTTTCACGACGCCCTCGCACCCCCAAGTTCAGACTGTCCTGCCCTCACGGGACCCTGGACCCTGAGCCCTGGCCTGGACCCCCGGCCCTGCCCTTCCGGCTAAAAGGGAGGGTGGCCACCTCTTTAAATCCCCCATCCCAGTCCCCTAGCCTGACCAGGGAGGAATGAAGCCCGGCTTCAGGACTGCATGCCCTCCCTGGCCACCGTTTCCCCGGCAGCTCCCACTCTTCCTGCGTACTCTCAGGAGCACGTGTCCCCACCTCCCGGCCCGTCTCTTTCCTTCCTAGTCTTGTTTGTTCGTGTCTGCTCAGGAATGTTAACTTTTACGGGGCAGATAGTCTGTCTTTTTAAGCTTTCTCCTTAGTGCTCACATAGGACCTGGCCAGCACTCGAGCGAGAAATCTTTGTTGGATGAATGACAGCCTGGGGAGGTGACTGGGGCCAGGGAAGCCCCCCTTGGCTTTGCCCTCACCTTACCGACTGCCCTCTTCTGACCCCCAAAGGCCAGCCTCTGCCTCCCCATCAGCCTGGGCAGCAGGACCCACCCCTCCTGCCCGTTCCACCGGACAAGAGCTTCCAGACCTGAGATGGGGTGCCTGGGACCCCAGGCCCTTCCAGGGAGGCCTCTGCAGGGGGGGGGGGGGCACCCTATTCCCTCGTGGCCCCACCTCCTTCACCTCATTGGCACCTACCCGGCCAGTGCCAGAGGGTGGAGGGGGAGCACTGACTCAGCTGGGCCGAGAGAGGAGGAGTGGGGGGAGCTGGGCGGGGTGGGGAAGGGAGGAGATGGCTCCGAGCAGCCTTTCCCACAAAACAGGGTGCCACGCCCCAGAAGCTTAGAGGAGCAAAGATGAGTGGGTTTCCAGGCGGTGGGCTTCTTAGGGCTTTACTAAGTAAATATGCCGCAGCATGTGGCCCAGGACCCCGTAAAGGACAGGAGAACAAAGTTGTCGGGGGAGACCCAAGGCTGGACTAGAAGGTGGGGCCTGCCTGCCTCCCCTCCTCCCCCACTTCATTCATTCGTTCCTCAGCAGTCCTGCAGCGCTCGCTTTACAGAAGACCTGGAGGTCCCGACACAGCCCCGCCCGCCCGGGGCAGGGGCGCGCGGCCGCATTGGCGGGGCGCAGGGGGCGGGGGGAGCCAGGGCGCTGCGGGGCGCGGACGCCCTGCGCCACCTTGGGGGCATCACTTGGCCCCTCACGGCCCCTGCAGCTGCGCCAGCCCAGCCGCAGCACTCCAGGCCGCCCTCCTCCCCGGTACCATCGCCCTCGCAACGTCCCGGGGCACCTCCGGCGCTCAGGCCCCCGACTGGCCCCGTGGGCCTCGCAGGCTCCCAGCGGCCGAGCTTCCGCCGCGCCGCACCCGCCCGCGGCCGGGGCCCGGGAGGAACTGGGCCGGGGGCGGGGCGCGGCGGCCGGGGCGGGGCCGGGGCCAGCTCTTGCGCCGGGTCCGGCCGAGCGCTCAGTCTCGGCGGGCACGCGGCGGGCGCTGGGCTCCCGCGCCTGGAGGTCTGCCCGGCCCGAGGGCTGCCGCGGCCTGAGGTCTCCCGCGCTCCGAGTTCTCCGCTCCCACCATGTGGCTGAGAAGGTGAGCGCGCGGGCGGACGGGCCGGGCGGGAGCGGCGGGAGCCGCGGGGGCGCCGCGGTCGGGCCGGGGCCGGGGCCCAGCGCGCCCTGCAGTCCGCGGCCGGGGTCCCCGCTCATCTGGCGGGGCGGCGGCGGGGAGTCCGCTCGGAGGGTCGGCCGCCAGGGAGCGGAGCGACATCGGGCGGGACGGGCGGGCGACGCGGTCACCTGCCGGCAGGTGGCATCCGCCCAGGGGAAGGCGCGGGGAGGGCCGGGCCGTGGGGGTGGACCGCAGGGCGTGGGTGTGCTTGGGGGCGGGGTCCCTGAGAAGGGAAGGGAAAGAGCGAAAGCTGGAAGGAGGCTAGACGCACCGCACACATGCTCACTACCCCCTCCGCCCCCCCGCCCTCCGCCCCCGCCCCCCCCTCGGCCCCCACCTCCCCCCTGCTCATCTGGGATTCCCCCCTCCCGCATCAGCAGAGCCGAACTGCCTGGGCCAGCCCAGGGCTCCTGGCTTCCTCCCGGCCTGAGGGGGTGGTTGACGGCTTTGCTCCCAACGTTTTGCCAAAATATCCCCTTCAGGGCATGTTGTAGGGGGGACAGCCTGTGTCCCCCTTGATGAGCTGGTGAGGCACTCCATCCCTATGTGTCCCACCCACACAGCCCAAAAGCCTGCCCACACTTGGGTTCCCATGCCCAGTCTTCCCAGTTAGAAATAGAGGTAGTTAACACTGTTCCCTAAGAGAGGAAAATAAAACTACTAGACTATCACAGCCGTCCACACCCAGAGCCAGGGGCAGGGGCCTGGGTAGTGGGGGCCAGGGTGGAGGGTGGGACGGGGCCAGACATGACAGCAGGGTGGGAGGAGGGCCAAAGGGGCGGTACCTGGGGAGCAGCCAAACTGTTCTCCCCTGCTAGAGCCCAGAGCAGATGCTGGTGCCCTCCAGAAAGCCCCCAGAGGCCCTGAAGGGCACGTGCTCCCTGGACCCTGACCAGAGACACAGTGGGCCTGGTGAGCACCCACTGGGTGGGCGCCATAGGAGACCAAAGCCGGCCACAGAAGGGTTTTCACAGCTTTGTATTTTGGAAGGTTGCTCTGGCTGTGGGAAAGACGGCTGGTGGGGTTAAGACTAGGTGGAGGTTTTGGAAGCCATCCCTTCAAGCAGAAATGGTGGCCCCAACGGGGACAGTGAGAGAGGCCACGCCCACTGGCAGGCTGTGGCCTCTCTGGTGTGTGGGCGACCCCCTGGTGGCCCTGCTTGGCATAGGCAGGACAGCAGTGCATGCCTGAGGTTGCCTGCATGGGATGTGCCTCCATGCAGACTCACATGACAGCTGTGGGGGCAGAGCAAGGTTTCTGTGGGTCCAGAGCTCAGGGGACATGGCATCCTGGGAGGCCTGCTGGAGGGGCTGGCTAGGCGGAGGCATGCAGGGCGCAGAGCCTCCCAAACTGAGGCTGCTAGGAGCCTGGGAAGTCACGAGAGGGGTTTGCTGGCCTCCGGCAGCTCGGGAGGAGCCGTCAGCTTGGGTTTCAGAATGATCGTGTTCCTCCAGAGGGTAGTCCTGCAGCTCACCTGCCCCTGCCATCGGGTGTCTTAGATCTTCTCTGACTCTCCAAATTTAGATGAAGCTTTTGATATAAATACCTTGAAAGTGTTTTTTCCCGATTTTATAGAGTTTCTTGGAATGCATCCCCTGTGAGGCTGGGCCACCAGGGAGTGGAAGGCCATGGCCGCCTTTTATCATCACACTCTCATCATTGTTTTACAGGGGGTGGGGGCTGCTTAACTCAGGAGCTGGCCTGGTGCAGGGCTGCCAGCCCCTAGGGACATGCTGTGCCGGGCCGGGAGGACGTGGTCCTGGCTCCCTTCCCTCAGCTCCCAGGGGGCCTAGGCCGAGGGGCTGGCTGGCTGTGGATGTGTCACATTTCCGTGTGGGTGGACCCGGCTCCTGCCCGAGAGCAGCAGCCTGCCAGTGGGACTCATCTGCGTTTCTGGTTGTTTCTTCCAGTCTCAGACTGCTGCTACTGCTGTTCAGCGGCCTGCAAGCCGGTAAGTTCAGACAGAGCTCTTCCTGGGTGTGAGCAGCAGCGAGACAGCTTTCCAGGCCTTCCAGTCTGAGCAGTGGGGACCACAGGATGCTGACGTCAGCAGGCTCCTCACCACAGGGCCCTTAGGAAACAGCCGGGCCCCCAGCTCCGGGGTGACGTGGGGGACTGAAGGCCACAAAGGGGAAGGCTGTCCAGACCCGGGAGTCCTGTTTTATGTTGTGTTTGGCGTAGGTAGAATGCACTTCCTCCCACGCGTGTCAGCCCCTCCGCTTTGCAGATGAGCCAGGAGCCCGGGGCTTCCTGTTTCTCCCGGCACCTTCGTCCCAGTCAGCCCTGGGGAGCCCCCAAAGCCACCAGCTTCCAGAAGAGCACAGAGCAGGGATGCGGCACTGCAGCCGAGACCCAGGCCTTGCGGGGCCCTCCATCCCTGAGGGTGGCAGGGTCAGGGGACACGGCCACCTTCCCTGCAGGCATTTAAGTGGCTGTGCGATGGTCAAACCACTGATACGTTACATGAGCCTTTTCAGACGTAGTGCAGACGGCATTATAATGCTGTTGTTGAGAAACTGATGTTTTCTTTCAAACGCTGAACTTTAAAGAAAACCTTTTTATTTTGAATTCAATCTAAACTCCCAAGAAATAGCAAAAATAGTGCAGAGGGGCCCAGGCCCCCACTTCTCCCAATGCTAGCCTCCTACATACAATAGGAAATAACATCGGACGATACGTTGGGGCAGCTTATTGTAGGTGTCTGAATTTCTAAAATATGATTGCATTGCTACGTGTATTTTTTTCCCCCTTCCCAGAGCCTCAGTACATAGTTGTCTATCCAAGTTGTGTGTCTTTCTAGTCCTTCTATGTGGGCCCTGGCCACAGCATGGCCACTGACAAATGAGTGGTGTGGTTCTGTGCTCAGGAACTAAACCCAGGCCACCAAAGTGGACTGTGATGGAACTTTAAGCACGAGGCCGTCAGGGCCGGCTCCCTGTGTGCGTCTTTATACATTCCTTTTCTACAGAAATGAGTCAGACTTAGTGGTTGAGTCTTGCAACCAAGAAGCTACCTACCCCACCCCTGTAGAGTGAGTTTGAAGCCAGGAGCCACCCTCGGAAAGCAAATTTTGTACTTTTTGAATCGTTGCAGATGTTCAAGAAAAAGAAGTCAGAGCGATGGTCGGCAGCAATGTCAATCTCACCTGCATTTACCCAGAAAAAAACAGCTTTGATTTAAGTGACCTTTTTGTTTATTGGCAAATCAGTGTCCCTGGCCAACAGGAAACCGTGGTCGCTTACTACCTCTCTGGGAACAGCTCCACCGGCCACCACGATGACCACTACCGGCACCGGGCCCGGCTGTCGCTGGAAGGCATGAAACAGGGAGACTTCTCTCTGCTTTTGTCCAATGTCACCCCCCAAGATGCCCAGAAGTTTAAATGCCTGGTGTTCAGGAAATCCTTAGGACCGATGGAGATTTTGCAAGTTGTGATCACGCTGAACGTGGCAGGTAAGGCCGTGCAGCTGACAGAACGGATTTCATCCCAGCCTTACGTCCTGGAAAAAGATTCCTAAGACCCTTTTTCTGGCTCAGTCACCTGTTTTTTCCCATAAAGAAAATCCTATCTCTCGTAGTGGGCTTCTGCTGAACCGTGTGTGAAGGTGAACTGGTTAAAAAATTGTTCGGCTCATAAGCGAGGTTTCCGTAACCTCAGGCGGCCTGTTTCAGAAGAAGCCCTCATCTGGCTATCTTTGCCTCCAACTCTCCAATTCAACTCCAACTGGATTTTTTTTTAATGAAATTGGGAGAGAGCGCGCTATAAGGCACTAAATGAGATCAGAATTTAGGAAGAAAGTTAAAGTTGCTCAGCCTGCTTGCTCGGGGCCCAGTGCAGAGGAGAGACGGGCTGTGTCTGTTTCAGATGAATTACAGAGTCTCCGTGTCACTAGATTCAGATGAGGCCGACCTTCTTGGAGAGGGAAGCAGCTTCCAGTCACTGCCCTCCAGGCTCAGGAGCCTCTTGCTGAGGGTGAAGGGGGGGACTCCAATGGCCTGTGCCCACTGCCCAGACCACAGCCCTGGTCCTGCCTCTCCACCAGGGTCAGGGGCACAACGGGCCACCTCCCTGTAGCCTGGCCTTCGGTGCCGTCTACCCCTCCATTTCTGACCTTCACAACCTGGGGTCCCTCACTGCCCGTTTCTCTCCCCTGCAGCCAACTACAGCATGCCCGTGGTCAGCATCCCCAGCGCCCCCTCCCAGGACAAGGAGCTCACCTTTACGTGCACGTCTACAAATGGCTATCCAAGGCCGAATGTCTACTGGATCAACAAGACGGACAACAGCCTGCTGGACGAGGCCCTGCAGAACAACACGGTCTCCTTGAACGAGAGGGGCTTGTACGATGTGGTCAGCATCCTGAAGATCCAGTGGAGCCCCAACGTGAACGTCGGCTGCTGCATAGAGAACGTGCTTCTGCACCAAAACCTGACCGTCAGCAGCCAGACAGGTGAGGTCCCCGGGGTCTGCACCGCCGCTGCTGAGACGACAGGTGGAAGTGGGAGGCGAGGGGCCTCTGGGATGGAGTCTGTGGGCCCCGCCTGCTGCAGCAAGGGGGTGCCGCCAGCAGGACCCTCACATAACCTCTCCTGCACTGCAGGTGGGATGTAAAATGGTGCGGCCGCTGGGGAGGACAGTCTGGCAGCTCCTCAAAAGTTAAATGTAGGGTTTCCATGTGATTCAGCAATCCCACTCCTAGGTGTGTGCCTCAGAGAATTGAAAACGAGACCCAAACAAATGCTTGTACGTGAGCACTCATGGCAGCACCATTCACAATCGCCAAAAGGTGGAAAGAAGCCGTGCCCGGGGTCGGGTAAAGGAGTAAACACAATGTGGTCCGTCCACGTGGTGGAATAGCGTTCAGCCGCAGAAAGGAATGCAGGGCAGACACACGCCACAACGTGGACGAACCGTGAAAACATTGTCCTAGTCAGAGCAGCCAGACGCAGAGGTCCCACATCGTGATTCCTTTGATGTGAAGTGTTCCGAGTAGGTAAACCCGTACAGACAGAAAGCCTCTTAGAGGTGGCCGGGGGCTGGGGGCGGGGGCGGGGAGTGACTGCTGATGAGTGTGGAGGTTCCTTTTGGGGTGATGAAAAGTTCTGGAACTAGGCAATGGTTATGGGTGCACTACACTGTGAATGTACTAAACGCCACTCAATTTTCGCTTTAAAAAGGTGAATTTTATGTGAATTCCACCTTGATTTTTTTTTTTTTAAAAGCCAGCAATAAAGCTAGAAAAAAATTAAATTCGGTTAAATTTTAAAACTCAGATGAGTCTGATGCTGCACACCCCTCCCCAGGCGTGGAGGTTTAGGCTGGGATCACAGCCACACAGGCAGGTGGGGAGACTGAGACCCCTGGAGAGATGAAGGCTCCCCCTGAAGTGAGAACCCTTCTCCGTTTTGGGGTTCACAGCGTGATGCCAGGGCAGCTCTTTGGAATGGCTATGTCCAGTGCTCCCTTCTTCAGGATGGAAAGAGACCCCCTTCCTCCTTCCCCTTTAAGTCTTGGGTTGTTTTCCTCTTTCTCATAGAAATGCTCACTGGGACCAAGGACAGCATCACAGAGAAACCCACCGAGACCCACGAGGAGAGAAACAGAGCCCTGTTCAGCGTCCTGGCCATCCTGGCCCTGGCCGTGGCTGTGGCCGTGGCCACAGGCTGGATGTGCAGGAGCAGGTGCCCCGGCAGAAGCGGCACAGGTACCCGACGGGCGCGTGAGGTAGATGGCGGATGTTTCTTCTGTCAGTGTGAGCGTTTGCCTCTTTCAAAGCAAAGCCCTGTTTACAAGCTCCTCAAGATGCTGCTTTCTTACGAAGGCAGTTTTAACGGCGTTAACATTCGTGAGCGTCAGCAGCCCCCTAGCTCCAGGATGTGGCTTGGAAGCCCTGACGCCTCAGGCTGCACATTCCTGAAACGGCCTGGCTTCCAGGGGTGGGATGGGAATGACGGACTCCGACTTTAGACGTGAGGACGCACTTCATTGCTGTGGGAGCTGAGCTGCCGTCAATCCTAACAAAGGCTGTCTGTCCAACCCCAGCCAAACCCAAAGACAGATCCATTGAGTCTGGGTTTTGATTGTAAACCAAAGTAGCGGAACTCACAGTGGAGGCAGAAGAGCCCAGAATGTGGACACGGTGACGACCCCGTGTCACAAGACAGGCCTGCAGGGCCGGCCTGGGGGCAGAGGTCGGTGGGCATCCCCAAGGGTCCTAATACAAAGTAGGGCTCTTCCTGGGCCCCTGGGAGGGTGGGGACAAGGGCAGCACCCGGATAAATGGACCAGTTGCTGCTGGATTGAGGTAGCTCACCGCTGGAGCCCTCCCCAATGGAAGGAAGTTTCCACGTCCCGTCCTGGAGTTTCCAGTGTGTTGCCAATTCCATCATCCCAGAAATACTTCCCCCACCCTCGGCCCCACTGCCAATCTGGCCAGGCCGCAGAGTGTCTTAAAGGGTCTCCCTGCACTGGGGGCGCTGGGGTCTTTAGAGGGGCCCCTCCCTGCCTTTGCTGCCCATCCTGAGCATTTGTGGTTTGCTCTGCAGGTGCCTGGCAGCGGGGCCCAGGCAGGAGCTCACCGGTGAGTTTGCCAAGAGGGGAGGAGGCTTGTGGAGAAAGCGGGCTGGTTACGGGGCCCCGGCCAGCCTGGCTGTTGGCTTCCTCTGCTGTTTGCCTTTTGGCACGAGCAATACTTGATGACCAGGAAATAGATGTTTCCATTTTCAGAGACTCGGTGAAACCCCCAGTGAGGCTTAGGGTATTTCCTGCTGGCTCCCTTTGGCATGGGTCCTGTCCTTGTGTATACTCACTGACATACAGACATTCCGAACACACACAGAGCCTGGGACGCTGACCCCCGGGCACCTCCACCCAGCTTCCATTCTCCATCCTCACTGCCTCCGTGCGCCCCTCCCTGCAGGGGACTCCAGCGAGTCCAGATACCACGTCCTTGTAATAGAGCAGTTAGCTGGTGTCTCCTGGCAGAGGCACGCACCCCACAGTCCTGGGAGCAAAGGTCGATGTGATTCTCATCCTGATTTGGGGAAACATTCACACGGGGTCCCCGGTTTCCAGCAGCAGGTGTCTTGGGCTTCTAGGGGCCAGGGCTTTGCAGTCAGGCTGGTCCGGCTCCACTCCTTAGGCAAGTGACCGCACCTCTCTGAGCCCCATTTCTCCACCTATGAGCAGGAGTCCTCCTGGGGAGGGGGGTCCTGAGGTGTGCACAACCTGCAGCACAGTGCCTGGCCCACAGCACCCACCACAAGTGGTCCCACCTGTGCAGCTAGGTCACACTGGCTGACTTGCTGCGGGAGATGCACTCCCCAGCCCGCGTGAGCCCATTTTGGGTGACTCTGGGGCACGGCTCGCTCAGACATCTGGGCTGGCCTGTTCCTGCAGAGTCAGGCGCTGTGCACTGCTCACAGGCAGCTGCTTCTGAGGCTTCAGCCTCGGTTTTCACCGTCCTGAGTCCTGAGAACCCCACCTCTGCCCCCCAAACAGAGGTGAGCAGGCCCAGGGCTCATCTGTCTCCCTTCTTCTCTCCTTCCAAGACCGCGTGTGATGAGAACTCACCCCCCGAGATGTGGACAGGGCTTCTGTGAGATGCCACGGGGGGACGTCGGACGGCAGCTTGAGAATTGACTCGGGTGGCTGGTGACAAAAGGGGACTTCATGGACCTGGAGCCTCTGCGGCCTGGAGGGGACATGCAGGGGCTTCTCCTGGAAGGACCACGCCTGAGCGCAGGGGGGACATGCTGCATAGTGTCCTGATACCGGAATGAGACCCTTTCTAAAGGGTCCACAGCTCTGGGACACGCATGTCCCAAGGGAGTGGGCTCCTCGCCTTCGCTGCTGAACCCAGAAGGGGAAAGGGGCCTGGGACGGCTCCTCCCCACAAGCCGTGAAACTCTTCTCAGGATCCCAGACACGGCCAGGGGACAGGGGTTTCTGAGACCGGAGGAAGCACGTCCCGTTTGCAAAGAAGAATAGGGGCACCCACCCTCTTCCAGGACGACTTCCGCTGGGTGGAGGTCACTCGGGCATTTTGGGAGACGGAAATGCAGGGGCTCACTGCGATTCTGCCATGAGGACCCCACCCCACCCTGAGGGCAGGACCCACGTGTCTGTGCACGTGGGTGTGTCGCAAATGCAGGAAATGGTCAACACCGAAAAACCCCTGGAAGACTCCCCCGGAATTCACTGGGAACTTGTTGGTTTTGGTCAAAAGCTAGGTTTCCCTCCTAAAAAGCACAATGAGGTTTCTCGAGAAGAGAGTCTGCCGCCAGGCCCCACGTACATGGGACACAGGAGCCTCTCGGGCGCTCGGCTCTGCTGCGGGAGAAGCAGAAACACTGCCCGGACGGGACCGAGGACACGCATCTCCAGGGGACACGGGCTTGGACATGTGACCATCAATGTCCTTCAGGGTGGCCACGATGTGGCTGGAGAGGGCACGCCCCCAGCGGCCTCTCAGAGTGAGTCAGTAGGTCCTCCCGAGCGCGGGGCGGGCAGCTCCTTGCCACTCTCTGCGCTGGTCGCCCACAGCCCCCCGCGTGACCTCCTTCCAAAACCTGCACGGTCGAATGGTGGCCTCTGACTCAAATGCCGGGGTCCTCGGAGCCCAGCAGGCCCCCCAGGTGATGGGAGCTGGACAGTGGCCCAAGTCCACACAGGTGTGCGGCCCGTGGCCCTGACCCTCCCCGGGCAGTTTCCATGTTGGTGCCTAGAGTGGACCTAGTAGTTTGACCTTTCCAGCAGGTTCTGCAGAGGAGGCTCTGGGTACCCAGGTGTGCAGCCCCAGGGGAATGGGGCCTATTGTTCCGCCCGGGGTCAGGCAGCACTGACACCATGTAAGGCGTACATCCTAGACCCAGATTTGGAGCCAAAGTGAGGACGGGCGTCCATGGGGAAGCGGAGTTCAATACTGCTACAGGAAATTGTCTATCTGTTTTTGTACCAGAAAGCCCTCACACGGCTTTTAGATGAGTGTGATGAGGGAGGTACCCAGACTTTTAACGTGAAAGCATTAGAAGACTCTCGTTGTTTCTAAAAGGACAGAAATGTTGCCAACTGGCATCTGGAGCGAAGAAGCCCAAGGAGCCGCTTGGGGTGCCTGACGCCAGGACACACGCCCCACCCCACCCCAAGCCTGGGCCGAGGGTCCTGCACCACCCTGCAGCCTCAAGGCCTGGCCTGCCATCCCCCGCAGACCCTGAGCGGCCCCTGGAGACCCTTGGGGTGGCTGAGGCCGTGCTCTCCACACTGAGTCATCATCTTCCCGCTGGTCCCAACGGACCCTCGTGGCCTGGCTCCCCCTCCCTCACTGCTCCAGCGTGCCCCTCCAGGGGCCTCGGGTCTGGGGAAGACGGGCGTGCCTCTAGAGGGGACCGAAATGCACTTTGGTGTCTGCGAGGCTTACACAGGTACCCCTCGCCCTTCCAGCCTGAGTAACCGCTGTTCACTCCATATGCTGTGTTGCAGGCAGGCTGAATGCCAGTATTTTGACATCTGTTTCAGAAAACTGACATAAGCAAATACAGGTATAAGCTGTGCCTGTGTCCAGCGGCTTCAGTCAGCACAGCGGGTGGTGCCCGGTCATCTCGGTTCATCCTCACTACTGGTCTGGGGCACCTGCCTCTGCCCCAGTGGTTCTCACCCAGAGGCGGTTCTGTCGTCCAGGGGACACTGGGCAAGTCTGAGACATTTTGGGTTGTCCCATTTGGGGGTCGCTGCTGACCTCCACTGGGTAGAGGCCGCTGGCACAGGATGGCCCATGGCAGAGAAGCATGCCACCCACAAGTCGGTGGTCCCAGGGTGAGGGCACTTGCCCATGGGGGGCAGGGCGAGTGGATCTCCTCCCTCCTGTCCCCGTTGCTCTGGGCCTCGGGAGCACTGCCGCCTGACACGGTGGTTCCTGCCCACGGCTGGCTGTGGCACAGGAGAGGTGACTCATGGTTGACAGGGCCAGGCCTGGGATGTTCCGGGTCAGGGTCGTCAGCCTCCTTCCCACCCAGCACAGCCCCTGGGTCTGACACCCTCGGTCAGAGGCTGGAGCCCACTGTCGTCCTCCATGTCCTCCCTGTCCCCACCCCACCACTCGGGCTGTGGTCCGAGCACCGGGCTCCACCCTGAGAGTGTGATTCATCGCCACATGTTCTGGGGCCTCCTGACCCCGAGGTCAGCCTGGAGCAGGTGCCCAAGGCTGCCGCGTCACACCCAAGTGGGGGTTCCCCAGGCAGGGACGGGGCTGTGAGGGGGGGGCATGGTCGCCCAAAAGGCAGTGGGGTCTGCGCTCCGAGAGGCAGCGGGGTGACCTGGGGAACCGAGGACTGATGAAGGAGCAGTTTCCCAGAGAGCACACTGCCACACGTGTGGTTCAAAATGTCCCAAATGAGTGGACCCAGGTGCGGGACGGGGGGACAGTGAAGACCCCTGCTCTCAGCAGACCCAGGGAGGGCCCCCCGCCGACATCTCCCTGAACCCAAAAAAACCACCATGAGGGGACAGGAGCAGACACCACAACTCAGCAAATGCTACGCAGAAGGCTGCTGGGCCCAGGAGCCCAGGGCCCCGGACAGGGAGGGCGTGTGTGCCATGTGTGCAGTGACGGGGCCTGGCAGGGCGCTGGGGACACACCCGCTGCAGAGGCCGTGAGCCGCGAGGGCCCTGGGCTGCCCAGAAAGCCAGGAACCCACTCTGTCACAGTCTGGAGGCTGGAGGTCCAAGGTCAAGGTGTCGGTGGGGCTGGTTCCCTCTGGGGTGGACACCCTGAGGGAGGGAGGACCCTGCCGTGTCTCAGGCAGCTTCTGGTGGCTCCAAGTGACCTTTGGCGTGGGGCTACACCCCTCGGTCTCTGTGCTGTCCTCCGTCTGTGTCCTCTCCTCCTCTTACAGGACACCAGTCATTGGATTCAGGGCCCACCCTGACACAGGGTGACCTCCCCATAACTAATTACATCTGCAGGGATCCTATTTCTAAACACGGCCACGTTCGGAGTTTCCAGGACACTGTTCAGCCACAGCTTGCAGGCACTGTGCCGCCCTGCCGGGTTCGCCCTCGTTAATGACTGTGCACGGACACAGCCCTATTCACGCCTCCCCTCCAGGGAGCACCCACCACGTGAACCCAGCCCACCCCTGCTAGTCAGGTCCTGCCCCTGCGGGAGCATCTCCCCACGCAGTATCCCAGCAGGAGACCGCGGTTCCCGCTGCACTGGCCACTGGCCCTGCTGCCCCGTGTCAGCCTCACCGTGACCCCAGCTGCCCCGGCTCTTAGCCAGCCTTGAACCTGTGGGACTTGGGTCGGGCTGGAGTCAACACCCGAGCATGTGACGGTGAGGAGAGGAGGCAGGCTCTGCCCGCCCACTGGCGCCGCAGCTGGGGAGGGGCAGCCCCGGGGACCCCCACCTTCCTCTGGGCCTTCCTTGGGGCCCGCGCCCCCTCCCCACTGGGTCAGACCCCTTCAGGTGCATGGGCAGCCCCCTAAAGGATGTGCCCTCTGGACGCGGCCTGTCTTCAGTCTCAGGAAGGCCAGGCGTGGGCCAAGTCGAGGCTGGAGGAAGCCGGGGGTGGAGGACAAGGCTGGGGGATGGGGGAGTTCTTAGAAAGAGAGGTGGCCGACCCTGAAGGTGTGATGGGGAAGATGCAGTGTGTGGCCAGGGCTGCCAGGCAGGGGCCCCATGAGAACAACAGGGTTCAGGCCCAGGACTCGCCAGGCTCTGGAGGACCGAGGTCCGGCAATTGCCGTTTAGCCCCAACATCAGGCACTGTGTCCTCAGTGGCTTCCTCGCCCCTCCCCGTCAGCCAGGCCGGGGCATCGCTGCGAATGCCCCTGCCCTGCAGGGCCCCGGTGCCTGCTGACAGGGAGCACGATCCGTGCAGACCGGCCGTCTCCTTGGCCCAGAGAGAAAAGTCGCCAATGAAGATTTCAGTCCAGACTCCAGAATCAAGAAGCATGAGAGCCCCACTTTAGATTACAGGGGAAAAGGTTACTTAAAAAAAAAATCACTTCCTAGAAAAGAGGGTGGCAGAAATTGTAGCATCTGAACCTAGCCTTTTTCCCTCACCTAGCCGCGAGCGATGCGTGGCACGCCAACAAGATCCAGGGCCTGTCTCGGGGAACAGGCCTGGCCGGGAAGAAGGCAGCCAGGGTCTGGCGTGTCCCGACTTCCAAGATACTGCAATTCGTTTTCTGGAAGTGGTGCAGTCCATGTAAGGGACACCAGGACAGGCCATCAGCTTTGAGGGGCCCGGGGCCCTCTCGCCTTGAGGGATGGTGTCAGCGAGCATGATACGCAGGGGGATGGGGCAGGATCCCACAGGAAGGTACGGAGTCCTCCGACCCTGCTCACCCCTGCCCAGGAGCCTGCACCCAAGATCGGGAGGGACTTTCCACATCTGCCCTCCACTACTCGACCTGCTGGGGCTGTTTGCACAAGGGTGTGCGGCATCTCAGACTTCTGGGAAAATGTTCCGTTTATTCCTGGCCTGCAGTCATGATCCCGGAGCCCCCTGCTTTTCTTTCATAACTGATGGAGTTCTCTGCTCGACTTCCAATAAAACCTCCAAATTTGAAAAAGATCACTTCCTGTGAGTCTAAGCACACTCTTTCAGGAAGGAATAGAGCTTATGTCACCTCCTAAATTTAATTTGTCCCTTGAGGGGGCCAGATGGGAATGGGCCAATGAGGGGGCAGCGCTGTCCAGGGTCAGGAACGGGGGTCAGGGACTGACTGGGAAAAGCTGCACTTCATGCCTTGAAGGACAGTGAGATCCCATGAACTTGGGAAGGATTGTCCATAAAACATTACCTAATGATGGAAGACACCCAGGAATGCCTTACCCGCTGTGAGAGAATAAAGCACCCAGGACGGATGCGGCGGGTCCTGGGGGCTGGTCTGCAACAGGCTTTAACCATCGGGCACATTCCCTGTGGCCAGGGGCATCCTTGACAAAGTCGGCCAAAAGCCGCAGGGAGAATTGCAATAAAACCCAGCCCAGTTAGAGGAAAAAGCAACAGATTTTTAGTTAAAATTACCTCCCTGAATTTCCTGTCTGCCTGTAGGGTCTGAAAGAGGAAGTAACACTTTCATAGCCCCAGAAGTCAAGTCAGAAAGGCCCCTTGGAAGCACATAGGATTTCCCAGAGCCAGCCCGGCACTCCCTCGAGACCAGGGAGAAATGTGGGCGCTCCCTGGTTCCTGCAAAGGTATGAGGGCAGCTTGGCGGCCACCGCTCGGGGCCAGGGCCTGAGGTAGGGGTGCCAGCCAGGCCCCTCTACCCACTGTGTGCTCGGCCAAGTGACTCAGCCCCTTTGTGCAAAACGCAGGTGTGCCCCGTGCTCTGCCCAGCTCGGGGGTCTCTGTGAGGACAGCATGAGAAAGGGTGCATGGTGTGTTGGAAAATGACAGGATGCTATTAGGATGTTAGGTCTGCCTTTGACACTGCTGTCCTTCTCCTGACCAGGAGCTTTCTCTGCAGGGCTAGGGCCTGCCGTCTATGAAAAGGGGCAGCATTTTCCCATACTGGACTGTGCTCCCCCCGTGGAGACAGGAACAGGTCTGCCCCAAGCCTCCAGCTGTCGTGGGGCTGGAGCAGGAGGTTGGTGGGGGAAGGACCTTGGAGGCCCGGCCCACAGAGGCAGACCCCTCTAATCAGAGTGAGGAGTGACTGTCCCTGTTGGCCCCTGGGATCCGCTCCATGCGTGCAGCTCAAGTGAAACAGGGACTCGCGTTCCCAGAGATGTGCCCAAGTCACGGCTTTCAGCCCCTCCGAGCTTCCCAGAGAGGCTGCAAGGTGTCCCATACGAGGGTGAGACCAACGAGGTCAGGGGAAGGGGCGTCAGGTCCCTCCTGGACCCCTGCCCACTGTGGTCCTTCAGAGGCAGTGTGCCCGGGGCTGCCCACTGTGCGGGCCCCAGAGACGGCCTCTCCAGGGCCGCTGGCCAGTCAGGATGTGCACCCATGCTCCAGGGTCTGTCCCTCTCAGGCGACAGGGACACCCTGAGCCCTGTGCGTGCCAGCGGGCGAGGTTTACCATCTCATGTGCAGATGTGCGTCCCTGCGGCAGGTCATCAGGGAGGTGCACATGGGGGCCACGGGCCACGCGGCCACATAGCTTCAAGTTTAGCCGGGAAACCACGGCCAACCAAAGGATGTGATTAGGCAAATTCCCAAAGGAGTTTTTAAATGATTTATATCAAATTTCAAAAAGACTGCAATTTCTTTCTGGAAAAATTCCAGAACAGCTGGACTCACTCCTTCAGATTCGCAGGCTGATGACCTGATGTCACTTCATAGAAACAAGATTGGGCTCATTTATTCAGACAAGAACATCTAAGAGATTATACCCAAACCCCAGGGGCCTCGGATGTCTATTGGTCCCCCAGGACCACTCCTGGTCCAGCCCGTGGGGGAGGGTGGGACGGAGGGAGGGAGAGGGAAGGGAGGGGCGTCTGCCCCAGCTCGTCCTGAGAGGTCAGGCTGTGCCCGGATCAAGGCCTTGATCAAGATGGTGGCTGCTCCGGGCAGGTGCTCACCCACTGGCCGAGGTTGTC